TTTCAGATGGGACGGAAGCCTACCGATCCAAATTCCCATCGGCTGCTCTGGTGATAAAGGTGATAATCTTTCCGCTGAATTAGACAGACATTTGCTAAATGATTGTTGTCTAGTTCGAGTTGGTGAAGAGATCTCTGCCAGCGCAACGCACAGATTAACACAGTAATGGACGACCCCGAAACTTCTGGCCAAAGCACGTCTGCCCCTCCACCACCTTCAAACAGCAGACAGATCACCCTCCAAGTTGGGGAACGACGGTTCGTCACGGTGGCAGAGACTCTGACGCACGAGAGTGGATTTTTTGCCGCCCTGCTATCAGGACGCCGGGACAATGAACAAGCCGATGGCTCATTATTCATCGACGCCGATCCTGAGCTCTTCGAACACGTCCTGCGCTATCTTCGCCGTGGCGTGCTTCCCATCTTCTACGATAGCGCAAAGGGCCACGACTACTCTTTATACCTCGCTCTTTTGGAGGAGGCCAAGTACTTCCAGATTCCACGACTGGAGAACTGGCTCAAGAGAAGAGGGTACCTCGAAGCGATAAAGATCAGGTACTCAGGCGATGTGAGAGAGGGGATCCATCTTGATACGGAAACCCTGGCGACGGATGAACAAGTGGAGTATCACCCGACTTGGCAGACGATAAGGGTTTACATCTGCCCACGGGGAATCTCAGCTCATAGGGGGAACCAGACTGCGTGCGGGAGGCAGTGTAGAAACGCACAAGGCGACGACGAAAGGATGTATGAGGACGAGCAAATCTTAACGACGTTGGTAATTCGAAAACGACTGGTTTTTGATCCAGCGGCTCTGACTGGAGAATTAGATCACGACTCAAAATGAGGGATCATATTTAGGGCAGGGCTGGGATGGGCCGGGCCGGTGATGGAAATCACGGAGGCCACGACTCTTTGTAAATTGATCTGATCTATCCCGCCTCACATGTTTGTTTGTGAGAAGATGTGCATATTTCAGTATCGATTAGTATAGAAGCATACGAAGGTAGGGCAGTACGAAGTTGTTTGTTTACGCTGGCGATTGTCCGGCGAGAACGGATCGTGGGGGCGTCAATGTCCGTGCCCTGCATCACATCACAACCTCCTGGTCCTCAACCAAACCCAAATATCTTGCAGTTGGTCTGGTAACTTCCCACTCAGCTGTATCAGAGACATGCCTACGCTCCTGCCATGACGGTCGACTTTGCTATTCAATCTACCTGGGTTAAGAAACCAAATTAAGCAGTATCGCAGATCCCTTTGGATATTCTAGAATTCTCGACGAATCAGTTATTTCTAGACTCGATGCCATTATGGGGTTCAATGTGCCGCGGAAAAGAGCTATCACGAGCCCGGAAACTGCAGTACTTGTCGCATAGGTGGAATTGTTTTGTACCTGTTTGAGGATCCCCTTAACTGCCAGAAGCACTTCTGGCACCTTTTTCTAGCGTAAGGCATCTATTATACGTTTCGACTACTTGTTCTTACTATAAAATTAATACACGCATATCTCATTTACCGGAACTTTTGGTTTGTCTTTAAAATAGATCTATAAAGAACAAGTCACCTGGTTGCCATTAGTCTGGGCGTAAAGGATGCTTATGAATGCGATCACTAAACACCAAGATGCCGAGTATACAGGGGACGGAAAGGCCACATCAACGATTCAACATGTGTCAGCAAATCCACGTAGCCCACAAAGTTTACGGAATGTCGTAATAGCAATGGAAATGATTACTTTCTAAACAACCTAAAATTTTACTGGCGTATAAAACGCTCTGCATCTCTCGATTTCGGTAATCCGAATTCTTCTCATCTCCCAAACTTGAAAGCAACTCGTTTCTCAATTGACTGAATCTTTTAACCTTGATAACCGCCATGTCTTCTCCTATTAAAAATGTTATTATCCTAGGCGCATCCGGCGACATTGGGCGAGCAGCCATATCGGCTCTCCTTACCGGCGGGTTCAAAGTCTCAGTGGCTACACGATAATCGTCGAACACCACATTCCCATCAAATGTCACGGTATTCAAGACAGACTATTCTAGTGAATCTCTCCTCCAGGCATTCAAAGGTCAAGATGCTATCGTATCCGCAATCGCGACAGCCTCCGTCCAGCAGCAAATATCCATCATTGACGCAGCAATCGGTGCAGGCGTCAAGCGCTTCATACCGTCCGAGTACGGGATCGACACTGCAGATCCTAGAGCAGCCGATTTCGTTCCTGCGTTGAAGCCAAACAAGATATCATCAAGTACCTGCAGACGAAGCAAGGCACTGGGCTTTCGTGGACTGCAATCGTCGTAGGCTCCATCTTTGACTGGACTTTCCAATATCCAGGCTTGATGGGATGGAACCTGCCTGAACGCAAAGCTACCATTTTCGACGGAGGAAGATATGAGTACGAAGCCACGAACCTCGCGCAGATGGGCCTTGCTATTGCAGCGGATCTCTAGCCTAGAAATCTCGAGTCTACGAAGAATGAATACGTCTATGTGAATTCCTTCACAGTAACTCAAGGCCAGGTCCTAGCTGGCTTCAATAAGCTGCTTGAGCAGGATTTGGAGGTCGGGGCCGGGAGTGCGGCGGAACTTGGGAGACAGGCGCTGGAGGCAATTGGGCGAGGTGAAGGAAGGCAAGCTCATGTGAATGCTATAGCTGCTGCGATCTATGGGAATTGGGGGTTGAATAATTATTCTAAGACCAGGGAGTTGTGGAATAAGAAATTGGGGTTACCTGAGGAGAAGTTGGAGGACAGTTTGGTGAGAATTTTGGCTGCTGCCGAGGGTTCGAAGTAGCGACACTAAGTAAATGTGGTTTTGATCGATATCCATTGCTGATATTAATTACTTTAATGTTAGTTTGAATGGAGAACCTTGTATTGCCGCTACTATATCCTTCGCTGGAATATATCTTGTCGAATGAGAAGGGTGTGTTTCGTGTATCTCATCAAGGGTTGAGTTCCGAGGTAGAGGAAGGCCAACCAATCCAAGCACCTAACTTGCTTCTTCCAAACACCCATAAAAATATCTACACTCACTATTCATCCGCTGTCTGTCTACTAGATAGTCTTTTAATGCCCGACTTCCCATTAACAGAACAGGTTCGGCCAAGGAACCCTTGTCGAAGCCTGGACTTGCCTTCCATAATTTACCCTATTTTCATCTTCACACTTAACATACGTTCCTTCGTTACCTTTTAAAATAGGAGTAGGTAGATTGCATGTGGTGGGATGAGATTTTACCATCGTCCTTATGGAATGCAAACTTGGCAACATCATCTCACTTCCAAGTGGCAGATGAACTTGAGACAACAGGTTGTCGAGTTTCCAACATAGAGCAGGGGCTCAGTCAGGTGGTCATTCATATACTAATGGATTGTTTCATTCTAGTTAGCTAGGTTTCCTCTCTCGCTCTGGTTTTCAGGAAGCGGCCAAAGTCATTTCCTCCTTTCCTGATCAACATCGGTCAAGCGTTTGAGGGATACTGGTCAAGACCATGCATTGCCTATGTCATCCACGTAATTGAAACACCTTGTTGATTAATGTTTGAGAATCGACGGTCATCGGTCGAGACTACGAGGCAGAACAGAATAAACAAGTAATGTATTTCACGCAGAAGTTATGCTAAGGATTTAGCTAGCTGCAACTTCTTAAGACTGTGATTGAGTGAACGAATGAAGTTGGAAGATCGAGGAGAAACAGAGCACAACTGTTCCCGCCAATGAATCCCACTCCCGCTCCCACGAACTATGCTCAGGCTCTCTTTAATTTGACTTAGGACCGAGTGCTCGTTCATGACGTACTCCAACTAGAAGTCAACAAATACCAAAAAGGTGCTTTGGAAATTTCAAGGACTCTTGATAGAACACTGCTTAAACCTAACATTAAAAGCAGCACGGTATGACCTGTTGACACGGACCGATATCACAACGCATCGCATCTCGCCGGTTCCCTGCCAAACCTGGGACTCGGCACAAACAAACAACAGAAATACACTCTTCTCTCCTCTCAAAACATAATAAGAATTCCTAAAATAGGTACGGAGTGAGAAATTATTTCTGGAAAGAAGACAACTCTTGTTTCAAGCCCAAGCCACCTTTCTCCTTGGGTGATCATGGTCGAAGCTCGAAGCCTAAAGGTTCAAAATGGGTACACTCACGCCAAGTAAAGTAACAGTCTTAAAAATCCTCGCTGCAGGTACGGAGCTGTGTGGCTTAAAAACCGCTGGATGTGGCATGATCGTGATCATGTGTGTGTTGGTTGAAGTCTCAAACAGAGGTACTCGCAAGGATGGCGGAGATGGTGGTGAGGGGTAGAGATTAACTTCCTGAAGAACCAGCCTTGCCACATCAAATTCACAAATAATCGATACACAGAAGCACAGAATTTAAGCCTCTACCGCAACGCCGCTTTGAATCTGGATAGCACATATCTGCAGCAAGGAACAGTCATCTGCTCGATGTTAGTGTTGACGAAGAAGGTCTAGTTGCGATTCTGTCTTTGAAGACGTATGCAATCCGATTGGTTGGATGAGCGAAATTCTTCCACGTGCAATACTTTTATCTCAGAATTGTAAGTTGACAATCTCGATCGCATGGTGTGTAGCCAACAATGTTTGGCTACATTAGAAGTGCAAAAGGGCAGAATGGGTAGCTAGTCTTTACGCGAGGAAAAAAAAAAAGGCGGGGATTCCCTGCATAAGGTGGGTGGGTGAGGGAGGTTGCAGCCTGCAACAATCGAAACAGGCAATGACGAAGCTAACTGAGTGTAACCGAAAGCCCCTGCCTCGAGGCATTTGCAAGATAGGAAAAAGCTTGGAAATCATTACAGGAATCCCTATAGTCGCTCAATCTGTGATGAAAAAGGAGGTGGACCAGGATTATTTGTTTCGCTTAGCGCACTTTAAGCGACATTTTTGCGCACCAAGCCACTGTTAGTCCATTGTAACAAGATAAGAAAATTTGAGGCAAGGTCACACTTTTCATAAGCGGTTGGCAACGGCTCCAATGGCGCAATGGTAGCGCGCGAGACTTCTATCCCCCTTCTGAAGTCCAATCTCGAGGCTGTGGGTTCGAGTCCCACTTGGAGTGGTGCACGATTGGGGAGTTAATTTTTGCTAGTTTTGTGCGGTTAGGGAGTATATTTTGTATTTCGGGAGCAAGTCTCGGAAGTTAATAGGAAGGTACAGGCCCAAAGTTTTGTCTCACCGCCTTTTCTGCTCACATATTTTAAAGTGGTAGAAATGGGCGGTGAGACAAACTTTAAACTTGTACCTCCGTAAAAGTTTTGAGAGTTATCTAGCCCTTTTCCTCTTCGATTCCCTTTTACCTAAAGATAGTACCTCCTTTTCGCGACGTTTCAAAGGTAATCATCCTTTTGTCTCTCCTTCATTTGTCTCTTCTTCTTTTGTCTCTCCCTCTTTTGTCTCTCCTTCTTTTGTTTCTCCTTTTTTTGTTTCTCCTTCTTTTTCTTATTGCCCTCCACTACCCCTATTCGCAACTTAAGACGCCCTCTTTTATATATTAACTTTTTAGGCGCTATAATAAAATCCTTTATCTTAGAAATAAGGGTAGTATCTTTAATAAGAATTTTTTTAAAACTTTAAGTTAATTTACGTCTTGAGCCTTTTTTTTATATATATATTATTAACCTTTTTAAAATTAAATATATTACTAATTATTTAAGCGCCGCGATAAAATCCTTTATCTTAAAAGTAAGGATGATATTTTTAATAAGTATTAAGCTTTTCTTTAAATCGTTAGGTTACGTATTACTTCCCTCCCGTTTAATGCTTTTTTTTAAGTAGCTTTATTTTAGGTAAGATTTTCCTTTTTAACCTTCGCTTAAGTAAGAACTTATTAACCGTGTGACGCTTGCTTTGTAAAGACAGTAATCATGTGTAATAACGGCTTCACATATTAATACACGATATATAAAAATAATAAAAGTTCCTAAAAATTTATAATTAGGTATAAGTTTCTAATCTTTTCGATTACTTAAATGATTTATCAATTAATATATTTAACTTATTAAATAAACGAAGTATCTTAAAATAACGTATATTAAGCCAAATTAGGTTATCTTTATTAAAGTTAATACGTAATAAAAAGCGTTATAAGACTATGTTATCTTTACTCAAGTTATAATAAGGTTTAATTAAGTTATATCCTATACTTTCTTATAATATTAAGTATATTTAATAGCTTATTAAGTATTTAATTTATTAGCGGAGTAAATTAAGTTTAATAAGTTAATCTTCTAATTCTAATTCGTGCGTAATATATTTATAAACTACCTTAAATAGAGAAAGTTCCCTTAGAGAATTGTATGGGAGAAATATATAAGTATAATTTATAATAAGGAGATATTTTAATTAATCGCCTTAATAATATGTAATAAATGATTTAAGTAGTTTTTATAAGTATTAATTATAGACTTTAGGGTAGTTATTTATTTATAAGTAATTAGTAGTAAATAATTATTTTTTAGTTTCGAGGATTTTGCTAAGGGCAGTTTAAAACTTAAAAATAAACTAAGAACCTTTATTAAAAGTAATAGTTAAAGAAGCTCTAAAGTAATAATATATATAATAAATATATATAATAATTAGCTTCAAAGTATTTGTCGTCTTTTAGTAGGGGATATTAATAACTTATTTACTAAATTTATTAATAAGATAAGAATATTATTAAATTTATACTTATTTTTAATAAAGGCGTAGTAGTTTATTATAATATATTCTTAAGGTTAAAACGAAATAAGAACAAGAGAAAGAAATCTAAGCTTTTTATCTTTAAAGACTTAAATTTATTAATAAGTATAATAATTATAATAATATTATTAAACTCCTAATGTAATTTCGTATTATTAGTACTAAGAGAAGAGAATTTAAATTGTTTTCTTAGTATTAAGGTATTACGGCTGGCAAGAGGTTGATACGGCGAGTTGACTCTAGCTTTATATTTAGGCCTCTAATTACGCTCAGAATCAAGAAGAAAAGACAAAGAGAAAAGGAGAGCTCTCTATAGGAGGGAGCTCAAGTATAAATACATGAAGGACCCTCCTAATAGGGCCTAACGCAGTCGGGGGCCATTCACATCTATATATCGCATGCTCGCCACTTAGTCTTCCCTATTAGGCTTAGCGCCGTCGCATAGCCAGCGATGCTACGAGCCCGTGTCGGTTAGAATACGAGGCGCATCGTAGGTCGTAACATAAGGTATGCGATATTAACTCGATTATGAATTTCTTTAATAAAAATGGTACGAAGGTAATCAATATTAAAAACTAAAAGGCCGTTATTGTAAAGTAAAAGATCGTCTTTTATACTAAATTTCCTAAGGGAATTTAATAAAGCGTATAAGAAAAAGGTAATATAATTAGCTTTTAATACTTATTATATAACAAAGAATATTAATATAAGAATAATAAGCTTAATATTACTATTAACGCATTAATATTATTTAGCGATTATAACTTTATAAATAATAAGTAAGAATTAACTTAGTCTTAGCGTAAGAATTATTAAAGATGTTAAGTCTTTTTTATAAATTTTTACTTATTTAACTTATTTAACTTACGAGAAAATGCATTTATTAAGAGGCTATAAATTTCAAAGCGATACGTAATTATAAAATTATAATTCGCTAAAAGCCTTACTTATTTTACTTATTAGGTATTTAGTTACTTAAAAGGTATAAAGTATTTTAAGGCCTTATGATTTATTATAATACGAATTTAATAAGGGACTTTTATTAATTTAATTTACTAATATCTTTTTATTATACATAGTATAGTTAAGCTTAGTAAGTAATATGGAGGGGTTTTAAAATAAAATAAAAAGTAATAAGTGTGACGACTGGCACGGCCTAGAGCCTCATTTCCACCGGCTCCACTTAGTACTGCCCGATCGGGACGTACCGAGATTACTATAGTACTAAGTATATTAACCTCTTATATATAGACTTATTCTTTCCTTACCTTCTTTCCTCTATAATTATAGATTTTAAGTTAATACTTAGTATTATTATATGTCTCTTATATTAATATATGAGGCGTTAGTTACACGTGATTGCCGTCTTTTTAAGGCAAGCGTCACATTATTTATAACTCTTTTCTTTACGTCTAAGAAGATAGTAAATATCCCTCGCCCCCTAATTCTTTTATAAGTAGTTACGACTTAAAAGCTTAAATATAAGAAAGGCTTATACTAAGCCTTATAACTTAATAAATAATAATATTTAAACCTTTATTAATAGTAAAGTTAATAGTTACTCCGCTAGTGCTCCCCTCTTTTTCTTTTTTAACTTCTGTCTTTACTCGACGAAGTTAATAACCTCTATTTACTAGAGACTTACCTCTTACTTAATAAGTTAAGCTAAAAGTTACTTCTATAATAAAGCTTAATATGTCGTTTACTTCTTCTTTTATACCCCTTAATAATCCTCCGTATATTATTAATACTATACTTCAAGATATACTTATAGAGACAGACTTAAAACAGTAATTCCGCCTTTTAGAGGAATAACTAGTTAAAAGCTAAATAAAAACAAGTTTATTAAGGGCTACCTTATATATATAGCGGCTCCTTAACGACTTTAAGAACTATAGGTCTACTAGTAAGTCTATAACCTTTTAGTCTAGTAAATCCCTTTAACTTATTATTAAGGAGACTCTTACTCTTAAATCCCCTTATAAAGTAAGACTAATATAAAATGTCCTTACTCTTAGTCTTAATAGACTACTAAATAATAATAGCGATAATAGTTATTAACCTCCTTACATCCCTCGCCGCTCCCCCTCTTTCCCTAAAATATCTTAAATATTTATAGTATTATAAATCGAGAAGATCCTTAACCTTCACGACAAGCTCTCGAACGGCGTCGATTATAGTCCACGTCTATAAGAAGTCTAAGTCTAAAACGCCTTACGCTAGTACGACTAATACTTCGTTAACGACAACTATTAAAAGGACTAATTATTAATATAAATAAAAAAACGGCTCGCACGTTTCTAGAACTTACTTTCTTGTCCTTAACATTTAATAATAATAAAAACATCACAGATACGCTCGACTTAGTTAACTAAGTAGTTAAATTCTTAACTAACTTTTATAAGTAATAAATAGTACGTAACTTTTACTTTACGTTAAAAATAAAAGCCGCAAGACAAACTTTTTAAGACTTTTACTATTAGTTTAAGACTCTTATTAGCTAAGGCAGCGTAACTAATAAGTTAATTTTTAAAATAGACTTATAAGACAAGCTCTTATCTCGCTTACGTAAGTAACTGTTTTATAAGTATTAAAGAGTTAAAACCCTAAAAGAATACGTAAAAGTAGTTTAGTTAAAGACTAAAGATAAATTATAAAGAGTACTATTTACGCTAGTCGCTTTAGCCCCTCGGCGACAAGTATAAATTCCCACTTTTATTCTTAAGTTAATATCTCTTTAAGGACTACAAGAAAGTCACTTTAAGCTTTTATTACTTCTTTGTCTTAGCGACGAGAGATTAATTAACCTTTAAGTTAATAAATCTCTACACGAGCCGATATATTTCGTGCCTAAACACTAGCGAATGCCCTACGGCATTTCGCCTAACGGCCCCTTAGTCGTAGTTATACCTCCCGTGTTAACGAGATAAAAGTAAGCGTCGACGACGGTAGTTTTATATTTAACGGCTAAACTATTGACGACGATAACTTACTAGTAAAGGAACTTACCTTATAAGCAAAAGACTTAGCTTAAGAAAAGGCTCCTTCTTAGGCATAATACGAGATATACGACATCTTAACTTTATGAAGCTTCTTAGCGGACTAGTACTTATTACTTATATCGCTTTCTCTAAGAATAAACTCACGTATAAGTTGCCCGCACTTCTTAATTCTAAAGTTAATAGTTATTATTTTATTAATTACTTTCTTTTAAAGTCTTTCTCTTTCTTCTTAAAACCTTTAATTCACTTACTGCCCTTACTTATCTTTATTAAAGGATTTAATAGTCGAGTTAGCCGGACTATTAGCTATTATATTACGTTAAATTTAATAGTTAATAAGTGTTTGTAATTATTTACTCCCTTCTTAATTACTTAC